ACTGCCACTTTCAAGTGAGAATCAGAGAATGACAAACTTGATGATTCCTTATTCTACAGGTCTTGTAAGAGCTGTATGTATAGCTAAAATGGGTTGAGATCTTGGGAACAGAGCTGATGAGGGATTAACCCTAATGACACCAGGACCCTAGAATTTGTAGGCAAGAAATTGCCTCCAGCCTGGGCATGAGGATGTATGCCTGTAATCCCAGCTACTTGAAAAGCTGAGGTAGGAGGATAGCAATTTCCAGGCCAGCCTGGGCAACTTAGTAAGACTCCATCTAAAAATAAAAATAAAATAAGAAGAATAAAATAAAAGGGCTGGAGATGCAGTTCAGTGGTAAAATGACACTGGGATTCAATCCCTAATACCCCCCCCCCACACACACACACATACACAAAGCCTCTAGCAGCCCAATTCAAGAGTATCTCCTCTGCTTCTTGGTCAGGATATATACAACCCAAGAGAAAGAGCTAGGAATTAGGAGTACTTGGGCCAGGGGCCAAGGAACTAGACAAGACAAACATAGGGTAACTTTCTCAAAGATCACAAAAACTTTCTATTTATAGAACTCTGCTGTTCCCTCAGTTGGGTAAATAATTTTATTCTGGTCAGAATTCACTATATTTCCAAAACTGGATTCAATTAATTTGTTAACTCCTCTAGACAACAGCTCTGGCAGCATGTCCTTTGGGGGACTCCTATAAGGTGCACATCCCCTGCATCCCTACAATTTGGCTCTGCAGCACTCAGAGTGAATGATTTGTTCAGTTGGCTGTAGTCTGCTCTTTTGAAATATCCACTGACTTTTTAGTTGCAATGATTATTTTTCTTTTCAAACCAAGAAGTACTTTGGTTCATTTCCAAATCTGTCTGGCCTTTTTGATGGTGTGTTATTCTTTTTATCCTTTATTGAGACATAATTCACATATAATAAAATTCATTTTAAAATACCAAATTTAGTAGTTTTTAGAATATTTATAAGATTGTGCAACCACTGCCATCATCTCATTTCAGGGATCTTTCATAATTCCAAACAGAAACTATACCCATCAATAATCACTCCCTTTCCTTTCCTCCCCTCCCAACTCCTGGCAATTACTAACTGACTTTCTGTCTAGATTTGTTTACTTTGGATGCTTCACATAAACAGAATCATACAATAAGTGGTTCTTTTGTTATTGGCTAAGATCTAGCCCTGTTGTAGCACAGGCAAGTACTCCATTCTTTTGGATTCATGAATAATATTCTATTGTATGGATATATCATACATGTTGTCAAAGAGTTAATGGAAATTTGAGGTGTTTCTACTTTTTGATTATTATGAGTAGTAACGATATGAATCTTTGTGTACAAGTTAATGCATTAGCATATGCTTTCAATTCCCTTGGGTATACACCTAGATGTAGAAGCATTGTGTAATTTTAACTATTTAACCATTTGAGGGACTGCTAGACTGTTTTCCAAAGCAGCTGAACAATATTCCCTCCAGCAGTATATGAGGGTTCCAAGTTTTCCCTATCCTCACCAATACTTATTTTTAATTTTTTTTTAGTTGTAGACACATAATATCTTTATTTATTTATATGTGGTGCTGAGGATAGAACCCAGTGCCTCATATATGCGAGGCAAGTGCTTTACCACTGAGCCACAGCCACAGCCCCTCACCAATACTTATTATCTGACAATTTGATCTTATGATTTCAGCTACCTTAATGGATGTGAAGTGATATCTTATTATGTTGGGTATGTGTGTGTGGTGGTAGGGCGGGGCAGATACTGGGATTGAACCCAGGGCCCTGCACGTATTAGGAAAGTGCTCCCACCCCCAGTCCTTTATTTTATTTAGAATGAGTCTTGTTAGGTTGTCTAGGCTGGTCTTGAGCTTGTGATCCTCTTGCCTCAGCTTCTACATAGTTGAGATTACAAGTGTGTGCCACCACACCCAACTAATCATTGTACTTTTGATTTGCATTTCACCCTGATGGCTCATGACGTGGTTACAACTCTTTTGGCAGTACTCCTGTAACCCATCAGTGCTGTACTGCTGAGACACATTCCTAACCCTTTTTATTTTAAGTCAGGGTCTTGCTAAATTGCTGAGGCTGGCCTTGAACTTGGGATCTGCCTTCCTCAGCCACCAGAGTTGCTGGGATTACAGGTATGCACCACCTGACGGGCCATTTCTATATCTTCTTAGGAGAAATTTGTACTTAAATTTTTTGCCCATTTAAAAACTGCATTATTAGTCTTTTTATGGTTGAACTGAGAGTTCTTTATTATACTTTGGATCCTCAAACTTAAACAGATGTTATTTTCAAATATTTTATCCTCAATCTATGGGTTGTCTTTTCACTCTGATCATGTCCTATTGAAGCTCAATTTAAATTTGATTAAATCCCAGTTTCCTTTTTTTATTTTCCCTTAGTTGTTTGTGCTTTAAGTTTCATATTTGAGAAACAGTTGCTTAATCCAAGGTCACAGATTTCTATGCTTTCTTCTAAAAGTTTTATAGTTTTAATTCTCACACTTAGTTCTATTTTGGTTTATCTTTCATGATTTTAAGTGTATCTATAGTTTCCATCTGAAAATTCTATAATCAGAGGTTAAATGAAATCTAAACTTCTTACTCATTCTGTCCCTGATATTTGGGCATACTGCATTCTTCATATCTTTTGTTACTTTCAATCTTAAATTCATTTTTGTGGAATTATTGGTGGAAATGCTGCCTGGAACAGAAATATCTCTGCTGGGTGGATCTGCTTCAAGTACCTATGAATGTTAACTAGATAAGTTTTGTTCTGTGTTCATTTTTATTGGCATTCATTTCATGGCTGGTGATTTCTGGATAATATGGGTAATGTTAACTCAGCCTAGAATCCACAAGGATAGGCCTGTGGTAACAGACTCAAAAGAAGACTATTTTCCTAACCCTGAGGAAAGATGAGGCATTCCAACTTCTCTGCCGTATGTCTGGCTGCCAGTCGGGTTTTCTTTAGTGCCAACTTCTTACTAGAAATGTCCTTTTTCAAGTGGCTTCACTTTATGCTGATGACTTAATTCCAACTCCTACATGGTTCAAGTACAACACTCTGTATTGACTGATGGTGGCCATTAAAATTCAAGGCTCTGGAACAGGGTGCAATAGTGTACGCCTAATAATGACTTTAGAGGTTGAAGCAGGAGGATCGCAAGTTTGAGGTCAGCTTCAGCAACTAAGCAAGGCCCTAAGGCACTTAGTGAGACCCTGTCTCAAAATAAAAACTAAAAATTAGAGCTAGGGATGGTAGTATAGCAACCCTGGGTTCAATTCTCAGTACAAAAATAAAAAAAGTAAGGCCCTTAGTCATGAGGTTGGCAGCCCCTAAGCCCAGCACCTACAGTGAGCAGTGTGGTCCTGCCCACTGCTTTGGTTTTTTTTGTTCACTTTTAGATTTTGGCTCCTAGGAGCCAGATGCAGTGGTACATGCCTGAGACTAGCTACTTGAGAGACTGAAGCAGCAGGAGGATATAAGTTTGAAGCCAGCCTGGGCAACTTAGCAAGGCCCTGTCTCAGAATAAAAAATAAAGAGGTCTAGAAATGTAGATCAGTGGTAGAGTACCCCTGGATTCAATCCTCAGCACCACTAAAAAAGAAAAAACAATTAGCACCTAGATTCAATCCAACAGTTATGAAGTGTGTACTAGCAGGAAGGCTTTCAGATTCTTCCAATTGCTGCACAGAAAAATTACAAGTAAAATAATCACATTAAATTTTTTATACTAGAGCAAGCAAGTTACATTACAGAGTAGAATAGAAGATTCCACAATAAGTTTACAAAACTTGAAGGGAGTATCTTCCCATGATGGCCCACAGGGAAAACAAATCCTGCACAGACAAATGGTTTTTTAAAATATTTTTTTTTAGTCATAGTTGGACATAATACCTTTATTTTATTTATTTATTTTTATGTGGTGCTGAGGATCAAACCTAGCGCCTCACAAGTGCTAGGCGAGCGCTAGGCCGCTGAGCCACAACCCCAGCCCAGACAAATGGTTTTGTGATCATCAGCAAAGTCCTAGAGGACAGCATGCTGTGGTTTTAGTTCCAAGACATGGATGACTGCAAGTGCCCCTCTTATTGGCACTTATTTGCTTTGTGGCTGTTTTAAGAGTCTCTGACCAATATTCCTATACTGGACTGTTGGCGACACAGGCTGGGTTTTGTGTGCCCAGGGCTGCCAAGTGAGCCCTAGTTGCCCTGTAGTAGGACGAAACCCTGAGACTATAGCTCTTGTGCCCGGCCCTTATGGAGGAAAGTGGTCCAGCCCATGTCTAGCTCCCCAACCCTGGACCCTCTGGGATGTACAATATGCTCCCTTCTGTGGCAGGCTTGGAGGGAAGGCCCTCACAGGAGGCAGAGAAGCTCAGTGCCAATGGCAGAGGTTGCACATACTTGCTTTAGCTGCCCTGGGAAGATGCTCTCTTGCAACCACAGGAAATAAAGAACTATAGCCCACTTATCTTTGCTGTTGTGTACTACAGAAGTATAGAAAATGAATTAGTAGCACCCAGTCTATATGAGCACAGAAGCTCATCAAACCTCATAAAAATCTCATCTAGATGTCACTTTTATCTCAGCTTTCCACTTCTAGTCAGTTTCTGAGCAGAAGGTCATGACTTACACTGTGCAACAACATCAGAACCTTCCATCTCTCCAATCAATCTCTCTTCTTCTGGGCAAACTGGGATCTACTCAAAGGGCAATATTACTGTTCACACAGACTGCACTGAGCAGCACTTGTGCCTTTCTCCTTGATGTTCTTTTGCTCAGTATATTCCCCCACAGCTCCTTCTAGCTCCTCCCCACTTTAAGCAGCTTTTCTTTTCTCCTGGGAGCTAGAGGTTCACATCAGCTTCTGCAGATGTGATCCCCTGCAGGAGGCAGGCTGCCTGGAAGAAGAACTGCAACATAACGGCCCTTCTCTGGGCTCTTCAGGTTCCATGCATCCAACACCTACCTTTCAACAGCTGTTGAAGTCACACTTGTCAAGGAAGGAGCACCTGGCGTGGCTTTGGACCGCTCTGTGAATCGGGAGTCAAATGCTTTCATGGGTTCAATCTTGGACGGGGTTGTTAACACGGAGGGTGACAATGCAGCAGTAGTAGAGGTAGCATTCATACTAAAGGGTGAAGAAGATGGGAGGTACATCAAGCACAATCCCAAAGGGATTTGTAGGTGTAGGACTTAAGTTATTTGGAGCCTATGGAAAGGGGCACAAATATCAAACTTTTATAAGCAAAAAAAAAAAAAAAAAAAAAAAATCCTGATTTATTTTTTAAAAACTTTATGCTGGAATTCTAAAAGTCTACATGAGAAAATCATCAGTAAATGCCTTCATATTTGCCTGTGTTTTGTTCTGAGAGCTTTTTGGAGTAGCTAACCATAGAGCCCTATCTCTACAACCTGAACACAGCATGTATCCTCTAAACCACTCTAACCACTAACCTTTGCTACTTCTATACGAATTAGATGAGAAAAGTCCTCACTCAGGTTTCTGAAGCTTTGGTCTGTTTTTGGCCTTCATCCTTGGCCAAGCTAGCCCCTTCCATCCTGAATGGCCCTCTCATTTCTCACTGTGACAATGACATATTCTTAGGACTCTCCTCCAAGTTTTCACCCCATAGCCCTTGCTTTCTATTCCACAGAGAAAGGAGAGGCCCAGGTATGATGTTCCCCAGCTTACCCCCTGCCCAAGTCTATCCCATACCCTTGGGCCCAAAGCCCCTGGGCCTCCAAATGATTCCATGCAGACTAACACCTCCATCCCTATCTGCTTGGATCCCATACCAGATGCCTGGTAGTCACCCTGGACAGCACTTTCCTCCTCTAAGATCAATCTCTGAAATGTTTCTCAGCTCTGGTGCTATTTGTCCTTCCCAGACACCCTTCCTCCCTCGATGCTTTATTTCCCAACTGTTCTTGCTGCATTGTCTCCTCTTCTGATCTACCTCAGAGTTCCCTAAGAGGAATGCCTTTAATGCTTATTGTGTCTCCATCGTCCCAATGTAAAAGCAGAAGGCTATGTAACACAGGACCATATCACCAACCCACAGAGAATCATTTCCACAGTTATCAGCCAAGGACTAAATTTGGGCACCAATGCTATTGGAACCATCTTCTTAAAATGCAAGTCCAAACCCTTCTGTGTCTCCACTCAGCAAAACCCAGATTATCTGGTTCAGCACAAGAACCCAGTCTCTCTTCTTTCCTTCCTGGCCCTCCTCAGAGCCTCAGAGTTCTGCTCTTGTCACTGCCACACTCCACAATGGCTTATATGGGCCCTAGGCTGGGCAAACTTCTGAAAAGCCTCCCTAAGATCTGCCCATCAATCCCCCTGATAGCTAGGCATTTCTGCATAGGGACCCCAGGAGCTACCCTTCAACCCTGTGGTTGCTTTTTCCTCATCAGTCCACATATTTATTCCCTGAGGACAAGAACCCACCAATCAATCCCCTATGGAAACCAGATACCTGCAGTGTGTAACCCAGAGCAGTGTGGAGCAAATGCTCACTTCTGGCTCTTATTTATGCTCACTTGGTCCTTTCTGACTTCCAACTTGGTTTGGAATGGTCAGTGAGGACACAGGCTCTCTGAGTAAATATGATTCTGACAGTGTCAGGGGATTTGTGTGTCTGCACAAAAGTGCATGCCTGGGATGAATAATGAGCAAGGATTACAGCACAGAGAAGTGCTGTAAAAGCCCTAGAAATGCAAGGCTACAACCAGTGTAGATCTGCCAAAAGGTAGTGCTGACCCTGTGGCAGGTAGCATCTCACTGGCAGGTACCCAGCCTCCATATCCTGCACCTTGGTTGGCCATGAAACCATCTTTGTGATGATCCTTATAGTCCTATGCTTCAGAGACTTGCCTGAACAATTCTCCCTTCCAAATAGCCCCTCATTTAAAATCAAGCATTTCTTTCTTTTGTTTTATTGAAGGGCCACAAAGTGAGAAGAGAATGAAATTCTCATCCCTGTAACCATGTCCAAACCTAAACTTTCCCCAGGGACAGTGATCTTGGTACCCACTAACCTGTCTTTACTGACAGACTCGCCTGCAGGCCTGGCACTGGCAGCTGCCACAGGCTCTGTGCAAGGCTTCGAGGCGCCGAAGGAGTTGGGGGTACTGGAGTCCAATGGCAGTAGCTGCTGACTGCTATGAGAGGAGAGCATGGTGCCTGCCAGTGAGCCCGAGAGTGGGATGCTGTTAAAGAATGCCGTGGAGAAGTCCCTGTTGCCAAGCAAGAACAAAAGTCAGTGAAAAAATCAGATGCTGTACCAAATATTTCATACCTTCTAAATAACATTGTTCTGGGTCCAGAGGCAATGTATTTTCATGGTAGGTAGTTTGGAAAGTTACAGCAAGTTCAAATGAAAATGAAAAGTATCTAATACAATATATTTAACTGAATCTAAGATGCATTAGTACTATATGTATCACTGAGACAACAATGCTACTTTTATAATTGTCAGATGCCATTTAAGACTGTATGATGCACCCTCATCTTAGGAGTTACACTTTGTAATCAGGTATGTCAGAATGAAGGAAATGCAGCATAGTGAGAAAGCCTTCCTACTGGATAGATGTAACATAATTTACCTAACCAAGCCTCTACCAAGAAACAACTCTTTCTGTGACAGATAATGTTGCCACAGGAGGGAAGATAGTACATTGAAAGAGTGAAGGTCCTGGGCCAGACCAGCCAGGGCTGACGACTCTGCCATTCGTGAGCTTATGATCTTGTGTGTTTTAATGACATCTATGGTGCCTCAGGTTTCTGTCTGTAAAACAGAAAGTGCTAGGACTCTTCGCATGGGATTGTTTTCCAGACTGAAAAAAGTTGAGGTAGCACATACCTAGAACACAGAGTAGTTGCTCAAGACATCTAGAATTATAGTAACTGCCATTACACCTGTTGATTCACAAATTACATGGAATAAATACCTACAAGTGGAATTGGAGCAGCAAATGGAAAGTTTTTTCATGATTTATAATAAACATTTCTAAGGTTCCCTCCTTAGAGTTTTCTATTACAAGAGTTCTTATTTTCCCACTTCAATGAAGTTTTATGAAATTTCATGAGTTGCCAATCTGATGGATAAAAAATGATATCTTACTACAGTGTTGGTTTGCAATTATTGTGATGCAAGATTAAATATTTTTCATATTTGATTTCCTTTTTTGTGAACTCTCTTCATGTTTTATATATTGCTCTATTTGACTATTGGTCCTTATCACTGATTTTAAAGAAATAATATATATATATATATTTTAAACCCACCATTCTTTATACAAGTAGGAAATATTTTCTCAGGAAGTTGTGTTTTGATTCTTTATGATCCTTTTTTCCCAACCCAATACTGGGGCCTGAACTCCATCATTTGCACACGTGTTCTACCACTGAGCTACATTCCCAGCCCTTTTCATTTTGGAAGAGGTCTTGCTAAATTGCCTAGGCCAGTCTTGAATTTGCAATCCTCTTGCCTCCATCTCCTGAGTGGCTGGGGATCATAGGTGTGTGGCACTTTGCCCAGCTATTTTTCTTTGTCAGAAAGATTACTTTTATATGGTATAAATTTTGTGTTATTTGCAGAAAACTTTTTTACTTATTAAAATTATAAATAATTTTATAGATTATAAAAATATTTTTCCCCAAAGACTCTTCTAAAATTTTAAACATCAATAACAAAAAAATTAGCCTCTGTGCTTGTGTTTCTAATTATAAGTTGTATGATTGGGATCCAGTTTGTTTTCTAGAGTGACAGGTAATTCTGATTTTCACTTATTGAGTTAGCTAGTGTTTCATTCCTGGTATGATATGATACATCTGAAAATCCCTTTTGGGGAAAAATTTGGGTCTTTGGGAATTACATTACATTCCCTTGCTCTGACTATTCATGTATTAGTACTTCACTGTTTAAATTGTTATAGTTTACATGAGTTTTAATTTCTAGCTCAGCATGGTGGTTTATGCCTATAATCCTAGGGTCTGGAAGCCAAGGCAGGATTGTAAGTCAAGATCAGTATCACCAATTTAGTAAGACCCTCAGCAACTCTCAAAATAAAAAAGACTGGAGATGCTGGGGTTGTGGTTTAGTAGTAGAGTGCTTACCTAGCATGTGTGAGGCACTGGGTTTGAGTCTCAGAACCACATATTTATAAGTTCATTAAATAATAATCCATCAATATCTAAATATATATATTAAAAACAAAAGACTGGAGATTTGGGGATATAGTTTAGTGGTAAAGCATCCCTGGTTAAATCCTCTGTGGAATAAAAAAAAAAAAAGAGGATTAATTTAATTTCTGGTGTGGTTAGTCTCCCAATTAATCTTTTTAAATTTTCCAAAAAATATTTTTCTATTTTCACACATAACTTTAGAATTTAATATGTTAAGGAGGAACTGCCATCTTTATGACACTGAGTCTTACAAGCTAATGAATGGTATGTATTTCCAGTTTTATTTCTTTTGAGTTTTCTTTATAAATATTTACATTTCTTAGCCTAATGCAATAGTGTGTGCTTATAGTCCCAGCTAACAGAGAAGCAGAGGGGGATTGTTTGATCCCAGGAGTTTAAGTCAGTCTGCACAATAAGGTCAGAGGAGACTGACATTTACTTTTCTTATTATATTCTAGATTTTAAAAAAAAATGTTTTCCTTTATATCTTGTAAAAGTACTTGGTGATACCTGATCTCATGTTAACTGTATCAGCAATCTTATTGTCTTATTTTCTATGGTAGTTGTGCCAATTGATTCTCTTATAGATCATATCCTCCTTAAATAATTCTACATTTTATATTCTCCTCTCCAATTTATTCTTGCCTAACTATGTAGGCTGGGGCCTCTAGAACAATGCTAAATTATACGAGAGTAAAATGTTTAGCTTCTGAACTTGATTTGAAATAAGACAACTTATTCAGTTAAGGAAGGATTCATCTACTCCCATTTAATTGAGTTTTAAGTCATAACAGTGCTGAATTTTATCAAAATGCATCTAAAGCATTAACAGAGGTAACCATACCATTTCTTTCTTTATTTTAACATTTATTTCTTGTGTCAATTAACATATAGATTTAAATTAACAGTTTCCCCAAATTGAACTTCCTTGCATCCCTGAAGAAAAAACCTTATTTGGTCATGTTACTTTTTCATTTAGGATTTTACACTGACATTCAGAAATGAAATAAGATTAAAATTTATTATGTTTTACCTTTATTAGTATTATTATTACTATTACCTTTACTTTATTTGTTTTAATTTTTTGGAGACAGAGTCTCATGTTACCTAGGCTGGTCTTATAACTCTATAGTGATCCTCCTGCTTCAGGCTCTTAAGTAGCTAGAACTATAGGCATGTGCCATAGTACCTGGCTATCTTTGTTACATTTTGATGAAAATATTATGTTCTTTAAAAAAAAAAAATCGTGATTCTGAAAGTCAAACCCAGAACTAAGTAAGTGCTCTACCACTGAACTATATGCCAGTTTCAGTTATCTGTCTGTTCCTTAAGATTTTGTTATGCTTTCTTGGTGAAGCTTTCTTACTTTGATGACTTTTGGTGGATTTAGGTTAACTTTTTGATAGCATCTCAATTTCTTCTACAACAATTTGGCAGTTTTAGTAATCTTATTATTTTCTTCAAAATTCATCTACTTTCAAATTTATTTGCACAGAGTTCAGCAAAGAAATCTATTATCCTTTTGATTTATCCTTATCTGTTATTATTTCCTATTTGCAACTACTTTGGATATTTGTGTTTTTTCATTCTTAATTAAGCAAATAATTACCTATTTGGCTGCTATTTGTTTGAACATGGGAATCAGGAGAGTGAGAAAGCCTTTAAAACAAAAGAAATCAAGTTTTGATACCAGGAATATATACCCAATAGCAAAAAGCTGGCTTAAGGCCAGATAGGAAGCTCCCTACCTCCTTACCATTTAAACCTAGAAGGATCCACAGAACAATAGTTATTATTACCACCTCCCTCACTCCCAGAGGCTTAACAGTATACAAAGTTCATTCACACACTGGTCTCACTTGAACCTTATAAAAGCTAGGCACTAGGCCTTATTGCTTGTAGGTCCACAATAGGAAACAGGCTTAGTTAAAGGCAAATCATTGTTCTGGAAAGAGTCAGAAGACCTGGTTCTGGTCAGGTCTCTGCCTTCTGGGACACTCAATGTCCACACACCTAACTCGAGAGGCTGGGTTAGCACATCTCTTCAGTTTTCAAGGAAGATTTAAAACAGTTAATGGATGGACAATAGCAAAGTGCCGAGGACTACTACATGTGGTCTCCATGAAGGACTTTTTGATGCTCAGTGCAGACTGCTTACTGTGTCTGTATAAAACCTAGAGTGAGATGCTGTGATTATAGGGTTCTTTTCTTTCATACAGAGCCTTATCATTCTTTAAATCAACATATATTGTTTCTGGAGAATGACCAATATAAAGGCAACTCTGATTTCAGACACTGAGACAACTGTAAAAGGTGAACGAATCCATCTTCCTTCTTTTTGCCCCCATAGGGAATGTGTCCCAGAGACCTACTCTCTGCCAACAGTTCTGCTTTCAAGAATTATTCTGTAAAAACAGTCTCAAAGAGTATGCTCAAAGAGTCATTTACATCACAAAAAATTGGACACAAACTATAAGTCCACAGTTAAGGAGCTAGTTAAGTAAATCACTGCATTCATAGGACAGCAATCTGGATAATCAGCAAGCAAATGCTTCAGAGGACTATTTATTAAAGTAGATGAAAAGTCAAGATACAGTAACAAGTGGGGAAAAAGACTGGAAATACAGATATCAAAATGTTAACAGGATTATATTTAAGAGACTTGATTATGAATAAAGTTTATATTTTTTCTTTGGCCTTTTACTTTTTCTAAAATTTTCATGAAATATAAAAATTTCACACCACACACACATACACACACCTTTCATAATCAGAAAAGGTTATAAAAAGAAAAAAAATCAGTCTGACTTCTTTTCCTGTGTCTTCCAGTGCCTCACCAACACTGAAGTACAGTAAATATGTGTAGACCTGAGAAAGCATCCTAGCCTACAGGCTATCTCAGCCTTTGCCCTTTCACATGAGTCAAGTATGCACAGAGCTTGGTGAGGAACTTTGAAGGACTTTGAGGCTGGTGGAAGGCTGGGCTTGACTTTTTTGTTTCCACATTCTAGGAGGCAAGTTGACCCAAAAGTCTGTGAAGGCCCTAACTATGAGAGTGCTAACTGGTGAAAGGAGAGAGGAAGGTCTCCCCAGATAAGGTCACATAAAGCTTGGTGAATGAATGAGTACCCAGTGTCCAGCTGAGCTATGCAGAGAGGCGTGATTCTTCTTCGACCATCTGCTGTCCGAGTCTCAACTTGTTTCTTCAAAAGATTCTGGCAAAGTAGAGTTATATAAATGAATGGAAAAGTCTCTGCCAATTATCTCCAAATATAAAAAAATAAAGTTGCTTATTTTTTTTCTTTTTGTGATAAGAACACTTAGCATAAGATCTACGATCTTCGTAACACAGTACTGTTAATTGTAGGCATTATGCTATACAGTAGATCTCTAGGACCAAACAACTTAGACTTTGTACCCTTTGACTAATACCTCCCTGTTTCCCCTTCCCACAGGCCCTGGCACCCACCATTCTCCTCTCTGCTTCTGTGAGTTTGACTATTCTAGATTCCACATGTCAGTGGTATATAGTATTGGTCTTTCCATGCCAGGCTTTTTAAAGTTGTAAACATTAAATTATTGTAAACAATTTAATTTTAATGTTTAAATACATATAGCTTTTTGTATGTCAGTTACACTTTGCTACAGTGGGTGAAAATAATAAGGCTTCTAAGAAAATGTATTCTAACTTCCCTTTTTACAGTTTTGGGTTTTTTTTTTTTTTTTTTGTACAAAATTAAGCCAGTTAGTTAATCAAAGAATAAGCATTTTTTATCAAGGTATGTACTTGACTTCAGGCACAGTAGAGAAGCAGACAAAAAGCACCCAGTTAAAACAGCTCCAAGCACTTATCTATCATCAGCACCACATGTGGTACTATGACCAAATCCCAGGACTGTAAGCACATGCCAGGCTGGACAACATCTGACAGCTTTGGGGTTCCGTGAGGAAACTAAAGGACTGAAACTGAACCTGTGGGCACACTCTCATCATTAAGCTGGTGATTTTCAAACTGACTTTTTCCATAGAGTTCCTTCTTTTGTGAAAGGTTTTTATTTATACACTCTGTCTGAATTACCTAGGGGAGGTCTTTCAACCCACAAAAGCTCCTGGAGATGGTTTTTATTCTAGGGTAAGCTCAACATTTCCTACTCTGCTCTTATCCCATTTCTAATCCCCTGCTCCTACCAGTGAAATGTGGGTATTTCCAAATTAAGATGGGGAAACCACAAGTTTCCTAAGGGCAGAGCCTAAAACACACTGTTCTCAGTATGTAGAAATTCCTAGAAATATGACCAGGTGAAGGTTTGGTAAGAGATGAATTATAGGGCTTCCTGGTACAAGGCAACTTTGGAAAAAGGTGCTTTAAGCCCCATTATTGTCTTATGCAGGTTCAGGTACTAGGACCAACCGGTCCCATGCAGGTTAACTATGGATCCTGCACCAGGCTCAGTACCTTCTTCACCTCATTCATGACTACGGTCACATCTTTGTGCCCTGTCCAAGCTGTACCTGCCTGTTCCCTTTTCCTTGTCCCCTGGGTATATAATCCTGGGTTAAGCTCTCACCTTCCTAATATCTTCCAGACTCTCCCCGTTGACAACACCCGCGACTGAGGATGCTGAGCCCATCTCTCTGGTTGCAGCACTCTTCTGGTCTAACTGCTGCTGTTGCTGCCTCCGTTGGTACTTAAGCATCTCTGGGTTCTCGATGACAGCTGTGGAGAGCTGGGCCTCAGTCATGATGGCCAGGCTCTTGCCATAGGTGGACTGGTGAATGCGGCTCTGTGGAAAGCAGGGAAAGGTTCTATACACTGGTATATCACTATAGTCAATGCTGCCCATCATGAGTGCACTGAGGCACAGGTTTTCCTGGCTCTGAAAGCAAAAAGGCTGGGAGGCTAGCTCTCCATCACCTCCCACCCAATTCTGCCTGTCCCTCATTAGACAGCTCTGATGGAAGTCTCAGATCACCACTAGATGTTTACAGACTACTATGTATCTATTGCTGGGGATGATGGTGAATACTGACAAGAAAATTCCTGGTGCAAAACAAATAGCAATAAATACCACCTCAATTGGTGCAGATAACCAAATTGCTAACTCAAGGTTCTTAAGTAACTCAAAGCACCTAAATATTCTCAGGGTACCAGATACTAAAAGCAAGAGTCTACTTTCACTGCTCTTATCAGATGGCAGCCACCATGGTGGGATAGTTTCCACGGGACAAACAGTGTCTCTAAGAGCAAGGAAGATTGGCACATCAGACCTAGGGAGATCCTTCTCTGCTCTTCCATGCTCTCTCCCTTCTTCTCTGCTCTCCCTTGGTCTCTCCCTTAAGATGCCTGGATCCTTCTGAGCAGGATCTTTTCCCATCCTCCTAGGCCCCATTAGCTCTGTGCCATAACAAGCTAAATAGCAACCCCAAGAGAACAGAGAGTTTTCCCAGCATATTGTAGTAATTGGTACTCATGAAAGTGTAATGAGGAACAGATTAACACAAAGATGTGCAAATGACCAGCCCTATCTTGCCAAGAACAGGGCAAGAACAGTTAATAGGCATGCTTCACAGCAGAGGATGCTGGGAAGGAGGAGTCAACTTTCCAGGAGAGGGGCTTTGCAACTTAATCCTGCCAGGCTTAGGTATAGCCAAGAAGCTTCCTCCTTTGACATCTTGGCTCCTAAACAGCCCCTGAAATCTCAGCCAGAATTCAGAGTTTGGTCAAAATTTTCCTCGTGTAGTAACACAAGGTCACTGCTGAAGATAATCCTAGCCAGATAGAGTTACTACATAGGCTTTCATAGTGATTCTCCAAGGAAGTATGCAGTGATCCCTGGGTACCTGATAACAGAGACAAGGTGGAATGAGGATCCCTGGCCACTGAGACACTCATTTCTTCATTGAAAAATGATTGCCAGGTACTTTTCACAAGCCATATCTCTGCCCCAAAGGGTTTACTCTTAGCAGGTGTCACACAGCCAGTTAAGAGGGAGCTTCCCCCAGCAATAGGATCACTACAGAGAAAGCTGCTGACCTACTCTGGGTTTTCAGAAGCCCTACATCTGAGTAAATGTTGGCAAATGTCTACTGAGAGAAACCAAGATTCCTAAGTCTATTGGTGGGTAAAGAAGAGTCTTTTTCAAGGCTCTGCAGAAGGACACACAGATGCCATGTTTCAGGCAGAGCACAAAAGAAGAAACTTGGCCCAAAGGCAACAAGTCTAGTTCATGCTTTAGTTCTTGTACTTAAGGGTCACATGTGGTCACGGCAAAAGGCCATGCTGTTTTCTAAGGCTTAGTTTCCTCATTGATGTAACAGATAAGGGTTGCCTTCAAGGATTTTGTAAATTATATTATATAATACATGCAAAGTACATGACCCAAAGTCTGACATTCAGTAAACGTTAAGAAATGTTCAATATTACTATTATAATTGCTGTTAAGTCAGTATAAGACAATGAGATGGGAAAAGTGACATACAGGGACCCCTTGGGAGTCACTCCAGCTCTCTCCCAGGGTGAAAATCTACCACTGGTGGCTTGTTAATGGCATAAAAAAAATGGTCTCAAAGTTTTATTCTTAATTCTAGGACTTGTTTCTGGCATGAATAGAGAATTATTAATTTATTTTTCGAAGAAGATAAGAATTACAATTTATAAAAGGGCAAAGACCCTCTAATACTTAAAGAAATACCAATTCAGAAGAAGGTCCAATCAAACTGGTCTCCCAGAGTTATTGTGGCTATTTCTGTGGTCACAGAACATGTAAACGTACAAGGACCTACCTTTTCCTCCTCACTGAGGGGGTCTCCAAGCTCATCCTGGGAGAAGTCGAGGAATGCCACAGAGCCATCCATGGAGCACACCAGGATGCCCAGCCCATTCAGGGTCCTGAAAGAGATAGCTGTCAATAGCCTGTGGACAAGTGCCTGAGGCAGACAGAAAGGCCACAATAGCCAGCCTGTGAGGATGGCTGAATAGTAATCTAGGTAGTTGCTGGAAACCCACGGTTCCCTTCTGAGGCTTGAAGATGGGATAGAGAAAGTGAAGCAATAATCACATTCCAGAGGGTCCCTGGTACCCTTTAGTTTTAGGCACATGTAAAATGCATCTCTTACCAAGAATTTTGTAAAAATTTTCAACTTATTTCTTATTTTTTAAACCATTTATATAATATCTTAAGGAAGTATGTCTACTATAAAGCTATGTGGATAACAGTTTTTCTGAGAAGGCATTTTTCTTTGGCATATCCTACCTTGGGCAGGATATTCCCACAATATCAGGCATAGAACTACTACTATTTCCTGAATCATGTATGAGCAGAACCTTGGGGTCTGTGCTGCCTTAGGAGTATGCTTTGGTTGCCTGGCCTTAGTCATATCCAGGAGATCTCAGATCTTTTCATAGTTTATATACCTTAAGAATCCACCTTACCAGGAAATATCCATGATGGATTTGTCAAACAGCTCATGGATGACAACCAGAGGCCGTTTCAGACACGTGAGCTGCAAAATAAGGAGCAAAGGTTAATGGAATTAAGAAACCCTTTTTGTGTACTCAGCTCAGTTAATACTACCAGCCCAGAAGTCTTGGTCAGAATTTCTGCTGACATACATAGTATTATTCAACTCCATCCAGACAGCTACTGTGGGAAACGAAAGTCTTCCAGAAATATGCACACTATAGTGGTCCCATCTCAAGGCTTGCTGTACTCTGGCAAGGCAGATGGCTTTATATATACAGGGCAGAGTGGAAGGGAATCATTCCAGGGAGGAACTTAGAGGTTCTACCAAGCAGGGGATGAGGCTCAAAAAGAGCCCAGCTCATTTTCTCTGGGCCCATAAAGCTCTTGTACACATTACCCAAGGCATGGTATAATCAGTTATCTAAAGTCATACAGGCTTACTCTGCAGTATATACAGATACCTGGTAAATACACAAAACTGTACAAATTGCCTTTAATCTAGACCCAAAGTTAATTATTGTAAAAATTGTTTTTTATACTGAGGATGGAACCCAAGTGTGCTTTATCACTAAGTTACATCCTCAGTCCTTTTTAATTTTTGAAACAGTCTTGCTAAGTTGCTTACGGCCTTACGAAGTTGTTGAGACTGGCCTTGAACTTTCAATTCTCCTGCCTTAGCTTCCTGAGTCACTGGGATTACTTTGATGAACTATTTTGTTATGGTTTAACTTTTGCAAGTATTTATTTTTCTCTTCGAAATAAGGCACAGTGTGTCTGCTTTTTTACTTAATGCACAGTGAGTATGTCATTGAATATCCTGTAAAAATATTATTTGGATGACTACATAATAATCAGTATGTTCATGTTCACTATCTAGTCCTCTTTTGTTGACTGTTCTACAACTATGGTGAACTCCATCTCTTACATACAAGTGTCTGGCTACCCTGTTGTTGTGTCCTAAGCTACAGTGTCAGGGTTACCAGCACCCCAAGAGTTAATTCCTGCTTGGGGGTGTGAACTGGCTGGGAAAATAAAAAGCCTGAAAATAATCAATAAGGAATGAAAAACAAGAGGCAGAAAATAGTTTTAAATGCTGGGGCCTGGTGGGTCTTCCAGCCCTGATGGGAACCAGAACTAAAAAAGGAAAAAGGCCCAAATTCTTTATTTAAGGGGAAATACATTAAAAGGTTTCAATGAGGTAGGCTTCTTGAGGAAAACAGGATGAAGATGGGAAAAACAAGTTGTTTGGGGCTAGGAAGGTTACCTCCAGGGGCTGCCTTTGAACCTAGGGCTGTGACCTAAGGTAGGGTGTCAGCTTTAATCTCGGCAATCTGCAACCGTGGATTCACAACAGGGGTTCTCAAAAACACAACTCCCTGTCTTATGATGGCTCAAACAAACCCATAATTCATACACGGCTTCCAACACTGCAAGATTGTGGGTTGAATGGGAACACACTTCTTTACAGATAATGGGTTCTGTCCTGGAGTTTCCAGGAGGCTGTGATGCTAAGCTTTACACTTAGAGCCTAAGATTGGTATGTGGCGAAGGAGGAGCTGTGCTCACATAAGTTCAGGGAGGAAGCTCGAGTATGAGCTACCTAATATCTACATTAAGAATCTTGTCCTCATCCTAATTCTAATTCTAGAAAAATAATAGCTTTGCCTCTCTTTCCATAAATGTACCTAAGTACCCTAGAAACCTGACCACCTGATCTTGGCATTCTAAGAAACATGAGCAGTACCATGAATGGTCCATGGGATGGGATAAACCAGGAAAAACACATCTTGAACTGGTCCCTATGACACTAGGGTTCAGGTTCCAGGGTGGGTGTTAAATGAATATAGAATACAAGGTCTCTGAGGAAAAATAAAGTCAGGTATGATGGCACAGGTGTCATCCCAGTGACTCAGGCAGCAGGACAATCAAGTTTGAGATTAGCCTCAGCAATTTAGTGCCGCAAAATAAAAACTAAAAAGCACTAGGGATATAGTTTAGTAGCAAAGCACCCCTATATTTTTTAACAATAAATCTAGCCAGAAGATAACCTTCAAACCCATAACTTCAATTCCATTCTGCTTATGGAGAAGTTTAAAAAAAATTATTGTATTACATCTGGCTTTATCAGATTTTTAAAAAATACTTATTTTTTAGTTGTAGTTAGACATAATACCTTTATTTTATTTATTTATATGTGGTACTGAGGGTCAAACCCAGGGCCTTGTACCTGCTAGGCGAGCACTTTTACTGCTGAGCCACAACCCCAGCCCACCTGGCTTTATTAGATTTTAAACCCAAGAGGGTTCAAGGAGGGACCTCAGGGCTCAGTGACACAGCCATGTCTTCTGCACTGCAAGTGAAAATGTCTCATGTAATAAAACATCAGTCTTAGCTCAGCACAGTGGCACATTAGCTATAATCCCAGTGGCTCAGGAGGCAGAGGCAGGAGGATCGTGAGTTCAAAGCCAGCTTCAGCAAAAGCAAGGCACTAAACAACTCAGTGAGACCCTATCTCTAAATAAAAAACAAAAAAGGGCTGGGATGTGGCTCAGCGGTCGAGTGCTACTTGCGTTCAGTGCCCGGTACACTCCCTGACACCCCCAAAATCATCAGCCTTTGAGCTAAGGAACTTAATAGCCTTTCAGAGCTCTAACTTGAAAACTATCACAGTTTTATTCTTCAATTCTCATGTCTCAACCCGTCACTGAATATTTGCTGAGAATCTGCTTGGTGCAGGGCAGTAAGTTAGGAGAGAAGGGGAACAGCACCTCCTCTTTGGGGTTGCTGTCTAGTAAGGAGTCATATGCTTAGCTTTAACAGAAACTGCCAAACACTTTCCTCACCAGTAATGTATTACTTCCAGCTAACCATATCCTTGGCAATACTTGGTACTCTCTCTTTTGTTTTGGGTCCTGGGAATTGAACACAGGATTTTACTGAGTTACAACAGCAGCCCTGCTCTTTTTGTTAAATTTTAGTCATTTTCCTCCTAAGTATGTATTCAAAAAGACTTATTCAAGAATATTCTTTTCAGCTTTTGGTCATAACATCTCACAACTGGGTCAATCTTAATATCCATCAAAAGGAAAATGCATTAAACAAATTGTGATATGTTCATATAGTGGAAGATTACATAAGTAATAACAGGAATAAACTATTGTCAGACACACACAACACACATGAATCTCAAAAACATTATGCCAAGGGAAAGAAACACAAGACACAAAAAAGTAAACACTGCACAACTGTATTTATATGACGTTCAAGAGCAGGTAAAACTCATCAAAATGAAAAGAGGCTGCTAAGGATGATTATCTTGGTGGGGGTGGAGGGAGGATGGCTTCTAAATTGGTCAAGATCCCACCCTCCCTCTACCCACACCAAGGTGATAGTGATACTGGTGTAAACATGCACAACAGTTAACTAAACTGTATCTACAAAACTGAATATGCTTCACATATACTATATGTCAATACAAAGCAAGCAAATACACTACGCCAACTATAGTACTAACTGCTCTGGGTGCTGCCCCCCAGTCTAGACACAAGATCTGCTCTAGCTGGGGATTCAGCAGCCTTTTCTAGCTGTGTCAATACTTCCTTCTATGCAGTAGAAAGCCTGCAGGTTTCTAGGAGGAGTGGCTGATCCCAGGTACACAGTAAAGTACATACTGAACATCATCAATAGCAGTGGGTCTCTCCTCCCTTCAAGGCTTCCAAGCTTGCCACTTTCCCAGTCCACACCTCCCACCCTACAGCAAAAGCTCAGTGTGGTGGCTCACCCAGACAGAGAGTGAGCGATCCTTGCTGCCAACAGCACAGCAGCAGTAAGGGCAGCTGGGCTTTGCAGAACTCCCATTCTTCTGCTTCTTTTTGAAGATTTTTGGGTTGAATTTCTAAAACCAAGTAACACATGTTAAAATGGTAATCAAGCATTAAGTATATACCTCATGCCTAAGCATGAGAAACACACTGAAATCCCAAGCCACTGATAGGAGTTCCTCACAGAGCCTCTAGGCCCAATACTGAGCATGCATTAGATAATTTTTATAACTACCTAGGAGGTATTTTGCTGATGGTGCACTGGAGACTTAGTGATGTCAGAAAACATGCAGAGTAACTAAATGAGTAAATGGTGGAATGAGGCTTAAAGTTAGTATTCCTAAATGCTCGATTTTTGGAGTCAGAAGCCAAGTCAAAGAGATGGGAGCTACTAGAACTGGTCCTATCAATTCCTCCTGACTTGTCAGTTTCCTAGGACCTGGGGGAGAAGCTAAGCCTGCAAGGGGCTTCAGGGACCAGGACTTGCTTACTCTCCATCTCCTATGGGAGGCCAAAGGGACTGGCAGGAGAGAACTGATCCATGTAATTCCCTTTCATCTCATTATCTTTGTTGTCCACAGTCATACTTATCTAGCAGAAATGTGTTCAGCCAGGGCTGGGGTTGTAGCTCAGCGGCAGAGCTCTCGCCTAGCACGTGCAAGGCCCTGAGTTTGATCCTCAGCACCACATAAAAATAAACAAACACAGATATTGATTCCAAGTACAACTAAAAAAATAAATAAAAATAAATATTTTTTAAAAAAAGAAATGTGTTCAGCCAAAGAGGCTCATAAGATCTCCCAGGGGTCAGGCACAGTGGCACATGCCTGTAATCCTAGCAGTTTGGGATTCTGAGACAGGAGGATCTTGAGTTGATTGAGTTGCTTAGTGCCTCAGCAAAAGTGAGGCACTAAGCAACTCAATGAGACCCTGACTCTGAATAAAAATCATCAAAATAGGGCTGGGGATGTGGCTCAGTGTTTTAGTGCCCAAGTTCAATCCCTGATATCCCTCCATCCCCCAAAAAAGCCAATCTGAAAAAGCTACATGCTGTATAAACCAACAATATGACACTCTGGGAAAGGCAAAACTGTGGACCTTTATTTATTTATTTTAGTTATTCAAAACATTATATAGTTCTTGACATATCATATTTCACACATTTGATTCAAGTGGTTATTTATTTATATGCAGTGCTGAGAACTGAACATACTATGGTAACTATAGTACTAACTGCATGTTTTCTCACCTCACTGAGCTTCCCAAGAACTGAACCCCCCCCCAAAAAAAAACCCAAATAAATAAGTAAAAACAAACAAACAAAAAGAAAAAAACCAAAAACAAAAAACCTCTCAGGGTAAGCTGGTTGCCTTTTGGAAAGGCTGTAAGCATCCTAAGACTGTTCTGGATTAAGAGGTGGGCAGGAGTTCCTGGAATTCCAAGTGAGGGCTTCTAAGAGTAGGGTCAGATAATCTAGAGGGGTTTTCACTCCAGGGGACAGGCAGGAATGACCAGGGTTACACAGAAATTGGAAAAAACAGAATCCTGGACTTGAGTTTCCACTACTACTGGGTAGGCTGTAAAGCTACTCATTGAGTTTCTGCTACTAATGAGTGGGCTTTATAAAGCTTTGTGAAGCTCTGTGAGCTTCCTATGAGGCATATATTATTTTCTCACAGAGCTGCTCTTAAAATGACCATGAGAATCACAAGCACATTTTAGGAACAAGACCCTTAGTTTCAAATAAAATCCAACATAGACTACAAGATAAAAATTTTGAGGAAGCAATATTTAACTACTATAAAATTTATTTTTTGAAGTACAATATATGATATCTACTTTTAATTTAAACAAGTAATGATGAGAACATTTTGATCATGGTCCCAAATGATCTTACTCTGTCATCAGCCCAAACCCATCAATCTATTAATCTTGTTTGATTGCAAATTCTCAAAGGTTATTTGCAGCTACTTAACAGCTGGCCTTGGTTAATCTTAAGACACTCTTCAATTAAAGTGATCCATAGGGATTAATGGTCTCTCATGCCTGAAAGATTAACAGTAGTTATCTGGAGACCTTCACCCTCCACATCAAGACCAGATGTGCAAACCAGTGACCACCAGCATAAGTTTGCACCTATAACTACTGCTGAAGGAAATGGAGATAAGAGCACTGTTTTGGAGGTACCCAGAATAACTCTATGTTCAAAGGAGTTACACAAGGGGGTACCATGCTGGAGCACCTGAGAGCAGACCTGAATATGGAAAACGTTGGTGTGGAATTACATTGTTCTAACCAAAGACTGATCTGGTGTTATTTGCTATATTACAATTTGCACAAACAACCAACAAAAAAATCCATAGGTATTATATTTTGTAAAAGTTGTTTTAAAATATTTAAGTGTAAAGAATTTAAAATGAAGTAAACACTAACATATGCTGACTCTGAGTCCCATCACCTCAGTCCCTTGTGTGGCCCAGTCTTTAGGAGCCTCCCTGAACAGCTTTCTATCCCTCAGGCTCTGAGGACACATGTAAACCACTGTAGTAGGACACTCAAGAAGGTACTGACAGCTGCTGGGACTTCATAAGGCCAGGCACACTCACCACAACAGTTACAGCTTTCCGGTGTCCCACAAAGTCCATGTTGGTCTTCCAGCCCTCCCGCTCGATGATCTGGGCAGTGGGGCCAGAATTGTTCATTGCATGGGCAGACACAAGGTAATGCCCATCAGGTGACCAGCTGAGTCGCAGTACATGGGTCGTTCCTCCACACTGAAAGAAATAACTTTGTTGAAAGGAGCTTAAAGTCAACTTTGTGACCAAAACTTGGGCCTCAAAGACAAAGTCAAACTGTGATTTACTAAGATATGATGATAGGGCATGAACCCCAAACTTCTGACTACACTGAGAGTTGTCAACCAGATGACACAACAAAAAGGGATCTCTGTCACATGAGCATGGGAACTGTGATATCTTCTACACTCCCATAGGACTGAACACAGAACAACAGCACAGTGGGCATATGCTTGTGGGAATCAGCAGGAAGGTCAGTCCTTTGAAATGCCCAACTCCACATTTACCTACTGCTTCTGCACAGCACTGTTAATCCCAGCACACAGGGTCTATGAAGCATCCTCAAGAAATGCTGCCACAGAAGGCCTTCAACAAAATTTAGCACCTATTCATGATAAAAACACTGAAGAAACTAGGGAATAGAAGGAACCTACCTCAAGATCAAAAAGAATATATATGAAAAACCCAAAGCTAATCTCACAGTAAATGGGGAAAAACAAAGTGTTTCCTTTAAAATCTGGAACAGAGAAAGATGTCCACTTTCACCACTCCAATTTAAGACAGTGCTTCAAATTTTAGCCAGATCAGTTAGGCAGGAAAAGAAATAAAGGGATAAAAATAGGAAATGAAGAAGTTAAATTATCACTGCTTGCAGATGATATGATCGTGTATCTGTAAGATCCAAAAAACTCCATGAAAAGATTGTTAGAGCTAATAAACAAATCTGGCGAAGTAATAGCCTATAAAATCAACATACCAAAATCAATAGCTTTCATATATACCAATAATGAATCTACTGAGAAAGAAATCAGGAAAACAATCCCATTTACCATAGTCTCAAAACAAAACACAATACAACACAACAAACACCCCAAAACAAAACCTAGGAATAAATCTAACCAAGAAGATGAAAAACCTCTACAATGAAAACTATAGAATATTGAAAAAAAAATTGAAGAAGATATAAAAGATGGACACAAAAAGACCTCCCATGTTCATGGATGGACAGAATCAATTTTGTTAAAACGGCCATGCCACCAAAGCAATATACTGATTCAATGCAATCCTCTCAAAATACCAATGACACTCTTCACAGAACTAGAAAAAATAGTCAGAAAATTCATCTGGAAGCATAAAAGACACAGAATAGCCAAAGCAATTCTAAGCCAAGAAAGCAATGCTGGAGACATCACAATAACTGACTTCAAACTATATTACAGAGTTATAGTAAAAAAAACTACATGGTACTGGCATAAAACAGACACAGACCAATGATACGGAACAGAAAACACAGAGACAAACCCAAACATCTACAGACATATGAACCTTGACAAAGGTGCCAAAAACATACTCTGGAGAGCCTTTTTAACAAATAGTACTGAGATAATAGGTTATCCATATGTAGGAGAATGAAACTAGATCCTTATCTCTCATCCTGCAAAAAATTCTATTAAAAATGGACAAAGATCTTGTAATTAGACCAAAAACTATGTAACTCCTAGAAGAAAGTATAGGGTCAGTACTCTAACATACAGGCACAGGCAACAACTTTTTTCAACAGAACCCCTAAAGCTCAGGAAATAATGCTAAGAGTAAATAAATGAGATGACATCCAATTAAAAAGCTTCTGCACAGTAAAGGAAACAATTAGGACTATGAAGAAAGAAAAGTGGGAGAAAATCTTTGCTAGTTACTCTCTTGACAGAAGATTAATATCTAGAATATACAAAAACTCAAAAACCCCAAATAAACCAATTAATAAATGGACAATAAATTAAATAGATACTTCTCAAAAGAAGAAATATAGCCAGGTACAGTGGCACATGCCTATAATCCCAGCAGCTCAGGAGGCTGAGTCAGGAGGATGAAGAGTTCAAAGCCAGCCTCAGCAATGGCAAGGTGCTTAGTAACTTAAGTGAGACCCTGTCTCTAAATAAAATGCAAAATAGGGCTGAGGATGTGGCTCAGTGATTGAGTGCACCTGAGTTCAATCCCAGATAACAAAACAAAACAAAAAAAAAGAAATATAATGGCCATATATATGAAAATGGCCATATATGAAAAAAATGGCCATATTTTTAGCATTTAGGGAAATGCAAATAAAAACTAAACTGAGATTTCATCTCACACCAGTTAGAATGGCAGTCATCAAGAATATAAACAATAAAACACTTTTTGCACTGTTGGTGGGACTGTAAATTAGTACAACTGCTATGTACATCAGTATGAAGGTTTCTCAAAAGGCCAGGCATGGAACCACCATATGATGCAGTTATACCACACTTCAGTATTTATCCTAAGGAACTGAAGTCATCATACTATAGTAATATATGCATACCCACGTTTATAGCAGCACATTCACAATAGACAAACTATGGAATCAGTCTAGGTGTCTCTCAATGGATGAAAAAGAAAATATGGTATATATACATAACGGAGTTTTATTCAGCCATAAAGAAAATGAAATTGTGTCATTTTCAGGAAAAAGGAAGGAACTGGAGATCATCATGTTAAGTGAAATAAGTCAAACTCAGAAAGTCAAAGGTCACATGTTTTCCTTCATATGTGGAAGCCAGTAAGGAAAAAGGAAAACAAGGTGGGGATGAATCTAAAAATCAAAGGGAGATCAGTAGTGGAAAGCGATCAAGTGGTGGGAGAGGGGAAGTGCTGGGGAGTGATACTGGCCAAATTATATTGCTATACTGTGTGTACGCACAAATATGTAACAAATTCCATCAAAATGTACAACTATAATACAACAATGAAAAATGTAGAGGGTGGGCAAGAAAGAAAAGAAATGCTGCCACAGAGAAAGTTCCCTTGCTGATATCTGGGAGTTCAGGAGGAGTCTAGAGTGGAACAGATGACCATGAGATACCACCTGCTTCCTTGAGCCTGACTCCTCACCCAAGGAATGGTGAGGATATCTGCAAAGAACAGGTCTGTAAAGTCCTCTTGAACTGTAAAAGGCACAGAAGCAAATGTACTGCTCCCCTGACTTGGCATGATGGTTAAGGCAACATACCCCTTCACTTTATTCATCCTGCAAAGTGAGATGTGAGTCCAAAGCCAACCTCAAGGTCAGCATGGGCTACCCCTAAAGATTTAGGGGCTAACATCTTGACCTCATGGCACAGAGAAGGGTAAAACAAAGCACGGCCTAAGTGCAATGAAATCACCTGCCTCAGAATCCTGTGTAGGATGACCCCCAGCAGAAGTTGAAGAGTACTACTAGTTCCTCCTAGTACTCAAAACTATCCTGTAGCTGGATGCAGTGGTGGTATGCCTGTAATCCCAGCAGGTCTGGAGGCTGAGATAGGAGGTTCATGAATTCAAAGGCAGCCTCAGCAACTTAGTGAGGTTCTAAGCAACTTAGTGAAACCCATGTCTCAAAAATAAAAAGGGCTAGTGGCTGTGGCTACATGGTTAAGAACCCCTGGGTTCAATTTCTGGTACCAAAAAAAAAAAAGACTCTCCTACAGCTGCCCCAGGAGCCTGGCAGCAGAACCCTGAGATACTAAAGGTGTGAAAACCACATCACCTGAACTAAGAAGCTGTAGGAAATGGAATTAACACACAGAAATGTCTGTCTTCATGTGAAGACATGTGCTCACAGGTATCAGCAGGGCACTTTCTCTGTGACATGCTCTCTAGAACACACTCTGTAGATAATGTGCTAGGGTTAACAGATGCTGTGCAAATGTTCAACATCACTAGCAATTAAGAGAAATGCAAATTAAAACTACGCTGAGATTTTATGTTACTCCAGTTAGAATGGCAATTATCAAGAATATAAGTAACAATAAATGTTGGTGAGGATGTCAGGGTTTGAAAAAAGTACACTATACATTGCTGGTGGGACTGCAAATTGGCACAACTACTCTGGAAAGCAGTATGGAGATTCTTCAGAAAACTTGGAATGGAACCACCATTTGACCCACTTACCCCCCTCCTCAGCATATATCCAAAGGACTTAAAAATCAGCATACTAGAGTGACATGTCCACATCAATGTTTGTAGCAGTTCAATTCACAATAGCTAAGCTATGAACCAACCTAGGTGCCCTTCAACAGAGGAATGGGTAAAGAAAATTTGGTAAATATACACAATGGAATATAACTCAGACATAAAGGAGAATGAAATTATGGCATTTGCCAGTAAATGGATGGAACCAGAGACTGTCATGCTAAGTGAAAAAAGCCACTCCCAAAAAACCAAAGGACAAATGTTCTCTCTGATAGATAGTGACTCACAAGGTAGGGGCAGTTCACTGGATTGAACAGGGAGGAGTGCAGGGGAAGGGAAGGAGGACAGGAATGGGAAAGACAGAATTAATTAGACATAACTTTCCTATGTTCATATATGAATATACCACCAGTGTAACTCCACATCATATAAAAATAACAAAAATGGGAAGTAATACTCCATGTATGTATGATATTCCAAAATACATTCTACTGTCATATATAACTAAAAAAAACCAAAACAAAAACAGGTGCTATGCAGAAGAGCTGTAAATGTCCATGGGAGAGATTCCATCTCAATCTACTTTTATTTCCCCACACCCAGTATTGCTTTAAATACAGAAGCCACTTCATAAATATCTAAAGAATAATAGTGATTTTGAGCTGATTCCATATGAAATCAGAACTCAAGGAAGAGAGAGTAAAATACCACAGAAGCCACTGCAGTCTGTTCTCTAGTTGTTTTGCAAACTAAACTGCTAAATCTGCACACAAAAAATTTTGACTGGCCTACAGAACAGATGTCAATGAGCACAAGTCACAAACACGGCCAGGAACCATTCAAAACAGTCTCTTCCATGTTCTCCTCATATCAACAAGCCACTCAGTAGGGTGGCTCAATGTAAACTTCCCACAATGGCATGAGTTGGGTGATACAGTGCTGCAGGAATAGATCTAAGGTTCTCTTCAGCTTTAAAATTTATAAATTATTTTCAATTCAAAACTGGACATTTAATGCCTTCCCATAAAGGAAAGACTTTTATCATACAACTCTCAGGGACTACCCTACAGAAAGCTGACTGGCCTGCTAAGGCCCCATACTCTATGCATTCACCTACATGGTCTGGATCATGGTTAGGTTCCTCTTTCATTGGTCAGACAGGAACTGGGGCCAAACCCTGGGCCTCCTCAGTTACCTCATCAAAAGGTTTCGTGATGCTGGTCTCTAACTGCCAGTCCAGGGTCCTCCACACCTTCAGACTGCGGTCATCAGCTTGAGAGGCAATGTATTTACCAACGGGGTCCCATGTTAACCCTTTCACCAAGCCAGAATGACCTCTAAGAGTAGCAAGAATTTCTGTGAAGAAAAAAAAAAAAACAGAAGAAATTTATACAGGCATTACCTCAATGAAAAACAGTAACTCTATATATAAAATACATGAGCCATAGTGGGTCACGGAATAGAAATCCAAGAGAAGGGACTTAAGCCCACCTGGGCACAAGCAGAAGAGCCACCTAGGTTGATCTCCACCAAAGCAAATAAAGAGATTACTGCATCAAGAAGGCAGATACCATGGATTCCATTCAGCCACAGCTAATACTCTCAGTGGGATCACACATGTCCCCAGAATGATAGGCAATAAGAGAGCTAGGCCTGGGCCAGAGCTGCCAATTCTGCTCCCACATCTTGTCTGCAGCCAGCAGTATAGCCCAGGGCTGCCATACCTGGACAAAAGTCTATGCCAAGTTGGGCTATGACTTGAGTATTTCTGATATGAGCAGCCCTAATAAGTAGCCCTAATAGAGGCTGAGCAATTTAGGAGTTTGGGCCCTGGGCTAAGTGACTCTTTTGTAAATCATTAAGTAAGACAAAGAATTGCACAATAGTACCTCCTACAGATCTGTAATCCAAATGTTGTACCAGTCTCTAAAACCCCCTCTGTGATCAGACTTAATGTCGCCACACATGTCAGTGGTGAATTTTAAAGAAAACTGAAATGACTTGGATCCATGTCCATGGATGATAGATTTTAGCCCATGAGGAAAACATATTCCAGATACCAAGTGGGAATATAAATATTTTATTAATTATAAACTTTAACACTAGGCCAGGTTATGCCATCTCTTATGACTTTAAGCACCATGAATAGGAAAAGTTCATTTTTTGCATAATAAGTTTTGTGTTAGCCAACATCTGCTCAAGGGCTTCAAAGGAGACAGCAATTAAGCTGAGGCCACAGCCTAGAAGAAGAGGGACATAAAGCATGTGTGGGAGTTGAGGGTCCTCAACATTAATGCCAGCACTCAGTTACTCTTTTTCTTTAGCATAAATTTCTTTTTAAATATTAAACAAACGTAATTGATAAAGAAAAAAAGACCTGGTTTACTGAAGAGACACAAATCCCAGGCTACTATGATACACTTGCTGCCACCGAGATTAAGGAGACAGAGCCCACTCCCCAACCCCACTCTAGTCACCAACAGGCAGGACTTCTGGGAGCAGCCCATTTCTGCCATCAACCAGCAGGGAAAATCCCAGACCTGGAAATTTCACAGCATTCCAGATGACGACAGTGTTATCCACGCTGCATGAGGCTAGCCAGGCATCATGGGGAGACCATGCTACATCCATTACATCTAGAAGAAGACAGGGGGCTTGTGGTGAGATCTCTTACCTGGAATGCACTTGGGTAAGGGTAGGCACTGAGCAGCAGCCTTTTCTGCAGGCTGGGCTGATTGTTCCTGGGATTTTCATGTCTGAGGACATATGACCTAGGACCATCAGAACTAGAAATTTTTTAAAAAACCAACATGAAAAAATTCCCCACTAAGGATGTTTAATTGGTTATAAAGTTTAAAGCACCTAATTGAACAAAATGCCCACTCCTTTTACAGACAAAGCAACAAGGCATAGCTGAGAGCTTGGGTGCCATGTGGTTTCACAATCATATATTAGAACCACAACCTGACACTTCCTGGGTCTGTGGCCTTTGGGGCCTCCTCCTCAACTAATTTGTATCTTTACTTATAACTGGACCTTCCTCAGAGAGCATTCTGAGTTCAAAACAAGCCATGGTAGGGAAAGCACTTAGCAGGCTTCCTGGCACATAGTGAGATCAAGAGCTGCTGACTATCTGAATGAAGTTATCTTTAGGCCCTGCAATTCTCATGACTTGGATCTCACCTCTGGTGCCAGGAGCATGTCTTTCTTATGGAGTTCCCAGAAAAAAATCAAGCATCACATTAATGCTCATTTCTTTGTGACTCAGTTTTTTCACCTGTAACGTTTGGATTAAGCAAACAACAAACCTACTCTCATATGATTATTTTGAGGATTAAACATGACAATGCCATAGTAGAGCACCTGGCACACATCATGGCATCAATAAAGGTCAGGTATGATGGTGATGACAACCACACCCATCTTGCTATCTAAATGTGAAGGCTTGGGATCTTATTTCCTTTTCTAACATTGGTGCCTCAGGAAGTCAATAGTTATTTGGTTCTTTCCCAAGAATTTTTTCAAAAAGAGGTATAAGCTAAATATTCAAAATTTGTATCAGACCTTTAAAAAATCTTTAATAGCAGCTTAATGCAATTTTTTCACATTCTATTGTGTTCTGTGGATCACAATGTGTATGCATGCACTGATATGCTGCATTTCATATTCTAATCACCTAAGAGGACTTCACAACTTCTTCGATTTTACTCTACATCCTATACCGTTGAGAACATTCATTACTATAAACAGACCTAAGTTATCACTGAAGAATAATTGGTTCCAGTTTTTCATGCTACCATGTACATGTGCCACTCTCCATACTCTAGATTATTTCTCTGAGATTGATATTCCAAAGTGGGAATCCTGGAAAAGATACCTGAAATCTTCAGGTCTGGATTCTCATAATACTGCAGAATGCTTTTCAAAGACCTCTGTGCCTTTATATTTCTATGTACAATGTCTGCTTCAAAATTCCCTGTTAAGAATAGGATTATGATTTTTCCTTCTAATTTATTAAGTGCCTTTTAAACTTTAGTTTTAATTTGATTATTAATGAAAGTGAGGCTTCTTCATGTCTGTCTACTATATAAAAAGTCTTTTTGAACTAATTTGATCACGTCTTGTGACTAATGGAAAATCTTTCTGTGCATTGGCTGTAACAAATATAAATGTAGTGTTTACAAAAATGAACAAGAATTTTCTCTAGGACTTTAAGAGTCCTGCAGATGCAAGCATATAAACACCAATATTTCACTGTAGTACACAAGTATAAGAGTGAGATGTAGTCGGATGGGAACCTAGAAAGGATATATGATTACATACAAAACATACATTAGCTACAAACTTCACCTATTCACCTTCCCATATTATCACAATTTTACATAGTAAAGTCTGTTATTCTCCTTTGTGATTTCTTCTATTTCCTATTAACCTTGAAAAATGTTCCCTCTGCTAGAGTTCTGATAAATATTCAATTCTACTTTCACCTGGTTTAATTATTTACAGTATTTATCTCTTTAAAATCTCAGATTTATTTTTGGTGTATGTGAAATTTAGTAAGGTTCTAAATTAATTTCTCCTCAATTACCAACTGCTTAATGGTTAGTATGTTACATGAGGGAAAATTTATCCCCCCTGGCCTTTTTTTTTTGGTAATAGGGATTGAACTCAGGGCACTCAACCACTGAGCCACATCCTCAGCCTAATTTATAAGAGACAGGGTCTAGGTGCTTAGCGCCTCGCCATTGCTGAGGCTGCCTTTGAACTAGCAAACCTCCTGTCTCAACCTCCTGAGCCACTGGGATTACAGGTATGTGCCACTGCGCCCAGTTCCCTTTTTGATAAGTGATGCCTTGGTGGCAATACTACAATTCCTTAGATACATTGTAGCCTCCTCCAGTTATTAGTTTTATCCAAAACCCATAATGTTTCTATCACTAAAACTTTGAAAGTTTTCATCGGAAACATTACTTATCTATCCAGTGGCTCTTCGAAGTCACTGTCCAGTTCTGCAGTAAATCCACATACATGGCAAAATTTTCTCTCTGAATTCCAGGTTTGGAGCTTCTGTCTCCAAATGGTATACCAACCCCTTTCCTTCTGTGGACTGACAAAAATCCAAGACCCTTTATTCAATTTAAATTTTCGGTCACTATTCTCATCATATTTGTTCCCTAACAAATGTTTTTTTTGTTGTTGTTGTTGTTCCAAGATGATGATTCTTCTAAGGCTAAACTCAAGGCTTTGGGTTCCTTAAACTTCTTGATCTCTTTCAACAACCTTGGCTTCTACATTCATTTCTATGGTCATGCCCAGAAGACAGATCACTGCAATTCCAACTCTCCCACACTCAAATAACCACCATGCTAAGATCCATTGAGGCTACATCCTTCTACTCTCTGCCACCCCTGTATACATACTCACCTTTCTCCTCTTCTGAGATCTCACTATCATTCCTCTTTTCCTTTTATGTCTTCATAGGTGCCTGACAAAACCCAGCCTGGTACAATGCAGACTTATCTTTCCCCAGTCTTTCTTGAACACCCTCCAACAAGTTTTGACCCAACACCATGAATGTCATCAATCAATCACACTTGTTAAGGCCGCCTGTGGCGTCTATGCTGTCAGGTTCAGAGTGTGTTCACTTCACCTCAGTGAACACATTACTCCTTTCTCTTTCAAACACTCAACACTATTTTTAATGGCCTCTTTCTTAGATTCCCTTGCTTGTTTCATCTCTACAAACCCTGGCTCCATCTTTGAACTGTTTCCACCCAGAACCTTCTCCTGTCTTCAAAATCTCCTATTTCCAAATGCCTACACAGCATGTCTCTCACACTGGCAAATTTAATGTCTAAAACCAAAATCCAAAAGCATTTCCCCTAAACAAAGAGATTGCTTCATCTCAGAGTATGAGAACTACATTCATTTTTTTTCCTTATTCAGGCCAGTGTATGGACCTGTCTTTATTCTTCTGCTCTAATACTGTGTCTGATCCACTAGGAAATCTACCTCTGACCACTTCTCACCACTCCCCAGTAATGCCCGAAGTCTGAGATATAGACCTACATTATGGTAATAGCTTCCTCACTGATCTCCTTCTGCTGTGCTTAGCTCCTCATGATATAGACTCATATACTTGCCAAACGTCTCAACTTCCCTAACCTAAACCCTCCTAAGCTTTCCTATCTCCATCAGAGGAGCCCTCGGTCATCTCAGTGGCTTTCCAAACAAATCAAGCACATACCTGTGCTCCTGTTCCCTCTGCCTGGTTGTCCCCTCACTTTTTCTGGTCTCCCCTCAGATGTCAGCTTCTCATTGAGGCCTAACTTTGAGAATAATGCTTATAATGGCACTTATTTCTTATTGAGCTCCCCGGTACTCATCCAAGAGCTATCTCCCTAGTGCTCCTCTTCAAATTTCCTATATGACTAGATTATGTCTATCCTTTTATAAGAATGAAAACTCTTGAGGGAAGGGCCTGAAACACATAATATACACAATAAATATTTATTAAATGGATGAGCAAATATTAAATGTGAAAAAATTTATTTTATTTAGTCTATTTATAAAGTGGTCATTTTATATGAAAAAAAGGCTTGTAGTGGTGTGATCTCAGGTGTGAAGTACATGCACCCAGTCCCAGCTACCTGGGAAGTTGAGACAGCATGATTACTCAAGCCAAGGAGATTGGGGCCAGACTGGGTAACATGTTGAGACCCCATGTCTTAAAAAAAAAAAAAAAAAGATAAAAAAAAACCTGTTTGTGGTTTAAGTCTCAAAGATCTCACACATTCTCTTCTTCTTCTTCTTCTCCTCTCTCTCTCTCTCTCTCTTTTTTTACTTGTAAAAGGACACAATACCTTTATTTTTATTTATTTTTATGCAGTGCTGAGGATCAAACCCAGTGCCTCACATGTTAGCGCTCTACCACTGAGTTACAACCCCTCATGCATTTCTTGGTAGATTATTCCTGGGCATTTATATTTTTTTATCCTATTATGTAAGGGTTTTCTTTTTATTATTAGATATTCTAAGTGGGTATTAGTAGTAAAAGATAAATAATAAAATTTGTTCTTATATGAGGCCCTTTTTTATTTTATTGAGCCAAAATCTCACTGAGTTCCTTAGAGTTTTGCTAAATTGCTGAGATTGTCTTGAACTTGAGATCCCCCTGTCTTAGCCTTTAGAGTCGCTGGGATTACTGGCATGCACCACCATGCCTGACTCATTTTTATATTATTTCCCAGTATGTCAAGCTCTTGATTTCTGCTTAATTGTACTGCAGAAATCCCAGAGAAGCAAAACAAGTGATAGTACCTACTCTTGTCTTTTCAAGACATAAAAGGGAATCAGGATAACCTGTGAACTATTTGCCATTGGTTTTTAAAAGACACAGAGTCAGGTGTGGTGGTACATGTCTGTAATTCCAGCTACTTAGGAGACTGAGGCAGGAGGATCCTAAGATTGAGGATAGCAACTTTGTAAGACACTGTCTCAAAATAAAATGAACAGGGTTGGGAATGTAGCTCAGTGATAGAGCACTTGCTTAGCATGAGGAAGGTCCCATGTTTGATCCCAGTACAAAAGAATAAATAGATAAATAGATACAGAATTTGATTATATTAAGGAAATAGCTTTCCATGGGCAAAAAAAAAAAACATATTTACTAGGGACTGAAAATTCAGCTGTGGCAGCTGAGTTACATAATATTATTTTAAAAAGAATAACCCTCTTAATAATTATGGGGCCTTTCTAATTCAACCTCCTTCAATCTCCTTGTGTTATTGTTTAAGTTATAGTAATAATTTCCTTACTCACAAAATTCTTCCATTATGAATCATGGTTAATTATAATGCATTTCTATTTTCAAATATTATAACACTTAGTAGTATCATTACTGATTTTTATTCCTTCATTCAAGTTAATCTGTGCCTCTGTTTCATTGTTACTTTTTATTAGGTTTTGGAAATCTTTGAAGAATAAACTTTTCTGTGTTCTGTATATATTTTCTTAAAAGCTTGAAACAGTAATCTAGGTCCAGAAATAATATTTGAAGATACAGTTAAACTACTGCATTGGATCTTACTCTGTTTAGGTTTTTCCTCTCCTGGTTATAAATTTTGAAAGCTTATTTTGTTTTAACTTATTAGTTTAATCGTATAAAATTATACTGCTCATGTTTTTCCATCTAGGTTAAATATTTTTCTAGACCTTTATTTCTAATTTTGCTGGTTTTTCTCTCTACTCACTAATTTACTATGTCAAGGATGTATTTCTCACACTTTGCTTTTCAAGGACATGGTCCATTCTTACTCGTTTATCTCTTAATTTCACTGATTTTTTTTTCTTCTTAAATGGTTTGACCCACACCTGCTAGCAGGACCAGTGAATAAGGACTGGCAGGTATGCCAATTGAAAGTAACCAACTCTACCTGCCTGTTAAAGGAGATTCATAGGGTTTTGGGGCAATAAGAGGTGCTGAAGTTAAGGCTGGACCTGAATCTCAGGTTAGGGGACCCATAATATTTCTTACTTGAGATCCCAAGTAATGCTTGAACACCCTCTTAGACACATGTGCCAAATTCCAGAGAAGCCTAACTAGGTTGCTATAAAATTGCTGTGAAATAAATAAGGGCAAATTATACATTTTTGTTATTATTAAACAATAACACAAGGCTACTGCTTCAGCTTTTACAAAGTAAACTTAATCCATGGTTAGGAAGAGACAGGTATGTTCACCTTTACATTGTTTATGGAGTATTTACGGAACATATGATATACAGCTAATGAATAATATATAGACAATGCCTCTCAAATCTCTTATTCCTGCTTGGTCTTCTGTAGAGTTCCAGGCTAATAGTTTACTGACATTTCCTCCTCTATCTGCTCAAATCTAGTCCATCACACACTAAACTGGTGCCCACTCCCATAAGCCTATTGCTCTTATGGTCTCTGTAGTGGATACAGTTGGTTATGCAGACACACAAAAAGAAATCTATATCATCTCTCACTGGGTTTGTCCTAAGTAGTTTCCAAATCTATCTCTTCTCCTCTCTATCCAAAGATCACAGGCCTTACAGTTTTCATATGAACCACTGAAACACTCTCCTCTCCAAGAGCTATCAGAGTCTCTCTTTCATGATGAGTAACACCCTCACTAACAGGGCACATGAGCCCTATACACTTGGCTAGCCTAACTTTGTGCTACTCTCTTTTTTGTCTATAAAAGATCCAACCAGGGTAAAATGTTTCCAACTCACCATTTATACTAAGCCTTTTTCACTATTGCTGCCCTCCTGCTTGGGCTTCAGTTCATTCCTGGGCTAGACCACAAGCTTCCTGAGAGAAGTATAAATTGTATTTATCTGGTACCCTGGGGCCTGGTCCTAAAGTGCAAGGGCTTTTAGACTATTACAGATTGACCTTCTTCCTCTTTAGTTTTAATATAACACATGCCTCTTTCCATACATTTTGCGAACATACTTAAGAAATTTTCCTTGGGTGCCTATGGGCTAGTTTCTGGGAAATAAAGTATGCTTACAGATTTAATGATCCAGTGAAGAAAGTACTGATTCAGTTCAGCAGGATGAATAATAAGATGTGGAAAGTTTTACATCAAAGATAAATATGTATTTCATGAGGGGAGAAATAGGGGACTAAAGGCAGTTGGAG